TTTTTCTCCGGTACCGGGAACCGAACTCATGACCTTGCGCTTGCCAGGCAGGCGCTTTGCCGCTGAGCTAAATCCCCAGCCCCTCCTGGTAGAAATTGTGTTTCTATTTTTTTTTTTTTTTCGGTACCAGGAATTGAACTTACAACCTTGCACTTTCCAGGCAGGTGCTGTGCCACTGAGCTAAATCCCCAGCCCCTGTGTTTCTAATTATTAATACAGAATCAGAAGCTGGGCATGGTGGTGCACACCTGTAATCCCAGCACTCAGGAGGCTGAGGCAGGAGGATCTCTGAGAGTTCAAGGTCAGCTTGGGTTATAAAGTGAGCTCCAGTCTGTCCTGGACTGTATAGCGAGACCCTGTCTTAAAAAGACAAAGAAAAAAAAAAGAAATCAGATACGACTTCTTCTTAAACTAAGGATTCACACTGAGCTGCATTCCTCAGCTCTTTTTTATTTTGAGACAGGCTCTCAGTTATTAAGTTGCCAGGCTGGGCTTAAAGTTGAGACCCTCCTGCCTCACTCGGCCTCCCATAATGCTGAGATTACAGGCATTCAGTGCCACATCTGGCAATAATTAATACCTACTATTTTCCAGTAGTATCTCTTCTATCTTCTTTGTGTGTACCTAGATTACTTCACTTTTAAAATACCTTGAACAAAGCCATTTATTTTGTAAAGTTAGATTGTTATTGAATATACTTCAATTATTACATTGTAATAACCATTATGTAAGGAAAGAAAATTTGAAATTAAATGCTATGCAAACAATTTAATTATTATGAAGTATTAAAAGTTAGTGGCGCTTTAGGGTATCACATTGAAATAATACATTTTTCTCCAGATTCAAGATGGAAAAGGTGATGTGACCATTACTAATGATGGTGCTACCATCCTGAAACAAATGCAAGTGTTACATCCAGCAGCCAGAATGGTAAGGATGATTATAAGTAAAGTTTCTTTTTTACGTGTATTGTTTGATATTTGACAGTACTGGAGATAGAATACAGGCCCTCTCACATGCTAGGCAAACAGTCTGCCACATCCCCAGCACTTTATTTTTAATTTTTATTTTGAGACAACGTCTCGCTAAGTTTCCCAGAGTGGGCTCAAACTTGTGATCTCTTCCCTCAGCTTCCTGAGTAGTTGAGATTATGGGTGTGTGCCACCAGCCCAGCTGTTGTTTGATACTTGAGAGTATTTTGTTGATCACATAACACCATTTGAACATGGTGAGGTTTTTCTTTATGCTAAATACGTATTTTTAGGATATATCATGTGTTGCTTTAACGTAAAGTGATAATAAAACACGAATCACCTTGTCTTTAGAAATGTACTATACGGGGTCTGGGGATTTAGCTCAGCGGCAAAGCGCCTGCCTGGCAAGCGCAAGGTCGTGAGTTCGGTTCCCAGTACCGGAGAAAAACCAAAAATAAAAATTAAAAAAAAGATTAAAAAAAAAAAAGAAATGTACTATATGGTTGAGATTAAACATAAATGGTAATTCTTTATTACACATTAGTTTTAGTGTTAGATGGAAGAGAAAAAAAATAATTTTTATTTTGAGAGTACTAAGGATTGTACCCAGCACCTTGCATATGCTAAGTAAACATTCTTTCACTGAGCTACACTTTCATCCCCTAGGCAACAAAATAATTTTTATTGTGTATAAGACAAATCATGTTGTAATTTGCACTCCTGTTTACTTTTTAAATGTCAGTTTAACTAACCGTCACAATTACAGACTTTCAAGTGTCAAGTGAAAAGTCACCGTATCAGTCAAAACAAATGCCTATTTTTTAAAACATCCTACTGGGTTCAGTAGCACATGCCTGTAACCCCTCTTAGTCAGGAGGCTGAGGCAGGAGGATCCCTGAGGAGTTTGAGGCCAGGCTGGACAATACAGTAAGGCTCCCATCTCAAAAAAAGTCCCATTTATTAGGTAAGTATGATCTAAACTGATGCTCAGAGTGCTTCATTTTATAGCTTCCAAGTCCATAGGGTACCTACCTACAATGCAATATTAGTGCTTTTCAGTAGGTCCTTTTCTTTCTTCTTTTTTTTTTCCCCCAGTAGGTCTTTTCTTGAGGTAACTTTTTACAATGTACAATGTGAACCAGAAATTGAAATATCTCCTATGTAAAGAAAGTTAATAAGTAGATTTTATGTGCCACAAACACATCACTTTTCTTTTTAGAGGCGGGAGGCTTTGGTGTTTTGAGACATTGTCTGACTATGTATTCACACTGGCCTTGAGCTCACTGTGTAGTCCAGGCTGGCTTGTAGTGATCCTCCTACCTCAGCCTCCTGAGCACTGAGATTACAGCATGTGCCATCAGAACCTGGCTGATTTTCATTTTTCAGTGAAACTCGAGGTAGGTAGCAAATCAGAAGTCATGAGTCGTATTAAATTTTCAAATTCTGCTTGTGACACTGATGTGTTGATCTGAATTAGATGTTACTGGGTACACACATTTCTCAGTGACCATGCATGTTCTGTTCACATAGCTGGTGGAACTGTCTAAGGCTCAGGATATAGAAGCAGGAGACGGCACCACGTCAGTGGTCATCATTGCTGGCTCTCTGTTAGATTCCTGTACCAAGCTTCTTCAGAAAGGTGAGTAGAAGTGCTCTGTTGCTGAATAAGAGGGCAGAAAAGTTGTGTGTGTGCTTCATTTTCAAGACAAGCATTAAGAAAAGCAAAATTTTTAAGCAGTATAAGATTTAATGTAGAATAAATTTATTAGGAATTTTTAAGATTTGCTGTTTTGTTTCAAATTTTTGCTATGCTTCTTTTTGTATGGTTCTCATTAGAATTGTGCTTTTCAGAAATCAGTGATGGTGTCACTAACCTTAGACTGATATTTGGGAGAGAAAGTAAGGTTTTGGTTTAGTAAATAATGTTCAGTCATAGTAGTGACTCTCCACTCACTCTACTTACACATGCATGATGTTTTGAAAAGTATAAAATGTGTTGATCTTAAGTGTCAAATGCATATCTACTTGATCTGTTTCAAATTAAGTAAAAGTAAATTACTAGCCATAATTAGCAGTAAAGGTTATTTGAGCCTTTCATTATACAACTGATGCATAAGTTAGTTTGTGTTAAGAGTATTTATAGGTTAGGTACCTAGCTCAGCTATAGAGCACTTACATGCACAGAGCCCTGGAGTCCATCCCCAGTACCACACACACAAAAAAAGGAGAAGCATTTGTGATGGCTTTGACATTTTAATGAGTGGAACATTTTTAAATTGTGACAAATAAGTAGTTTATCTGTTATAATTAAATAACTAGACTTTTATAAATAACAGGGATTCATCCAACCATCATTTCTGAGTCATTCCAGAAGGCTTTGGAAAAGGGTCTTGAAATCTTGACTGGTATGTCTCGGCCGGTGGAACTGAGTGACAGAGAAACTTTGTTAAATAGTGCAACCACTTCATTGAACTCTAAGGTGAGAAAAGCACTAAGAGATAGTTGATACATTACAGTTTAAGGTGTGTTACTTTTGTTGCTGCGATTTTTGAAATCCCGGTACATGAGCATCCTCTCAAGTGACACGGTAACTAAAATGTATAACAAATAGGTTATGAGATAAATGACCTGAAAGGCTAATAAAGGGACTAGAATATTTGATAGGCACTATATCCATTTCCAGTATTTCATTTCAACAATGCTTTAATATAGCTAAAGAATTTGTCTGTTGGAAGCCTTTCCATCTCCCTTAAGGACTGCCATAGAATTTTTCTAAGTATGGGTTTTTTTTTATCAATACTGAGGATTGAACCCTCAGAATATAGTACTGAGCTACATCCTTAGCTCCTTTTTTGTTTTACTTTTTGAGAAAAGATCACAAGTTGCCCCAGGCTGGACTTGAACTTCATATCCTTCTGCTTCATCCTTCCAAATCGCTGGGATTACAGACATGCACCACCATGCCCAGCTACTTTTTACTGAATATTAAGTGTGCTAAGCATTGTTATAAGTTACACTTATCTTTATCTTTTTACAAATGTAATCTTTAAGACTTTCAGATTGATAGTCATCCCAATTTATAAGAAAATAGGTCTGAAAAGGTTAATTTACATAAGGCCTACTAAGTTTCTTAGAAAATTTAAAATGAAATAAAAAGTTTTAATAAGCCCAGTCAAAAACAGAACCAGGCTTGGGGGTGCATGCCTATAATCCTAGCACTCGGGAGGGTGAGGCAGGAGGATCCTTGGGAGTTTGAGGCCAGCCTGGGCTACAAAGTGAGCTCAAGGTGAGTCTGAATTGCATAGCAAGACCCTGTCTCAAAAAAAAAACAACAAAAAAAAAAATTGAACAATTAAAAATGCTGTGTCACCATCTAGTTCTGTCATATCATTTGTCATTCACCCTCCCTTCCTACCATTTTTGTTTTCCTCTTTACTTTTGGAATCCTAGGGATTGAACCTGGGCCTCTCCCATGCTAGGCAAGTCAATATTAAACCTACGTGTTGCTTTTCTTTAAATGTTCAATGGAGGGCTGGGGATGTTGCTCAGCTGTAGAGTGCTTGGCTAGCATGCATGAGGCCTTGAGTTCAATCCCCTGTACCACCCAAAAAAGAAAATAAATAAATAAAAATAAACGTTAAATGGAGCGTTAGTTTCAAATGACACTAAATGTTGAGTGTCCCCAGAACTTAATGACAGATAACATGATAGTTGCTGACACTAGTCACAGACTTTAAATTGTGCTTAGCACTAGTTCCACCACTTAAGTTGTGTAATTTTGGGCAATTGGCTTAATCTCTGCATTTCAATCCATCTAAAGATTCAATGAGTTAATATGTGGAAAGTGTTACAGCCGCTGCCTGGTGTATGTAAGGGAAACTGTTCACAATTTGCACAGCCCCAAAAGTAAGAATAAAAGAAAACCTAATACATACTTTTATTTTGTGCATGTGATCACAATTTGAGTAGAAAAGGTGGTATGTAGTGTCTTTATGTGGTTCCTTCTTCTGCCTCAGAAAAAGTGATTAGATCTCCTGAACATCTTCGTCTTTGAAAACTTAGGGTGTTTCCTACTGTGAAGATAACTTTTTCTTCCTCTATTCTAGGTGGTCTCCCAGTATTCAAGTCTACTTTCTCCAATGAGTGTAAATGCGGTAATGAGAGTGATTGACCCTGCCACGGCTACTAGTGTAGATCTTAGAGATATTAAAATAGTTAAGAAGCTTGGGTAAGCATCTCTAATTACAATTTTAATACTGCCATTGGTAAATAGGTGAAATATGTGCCAGCTACCCACAGTGAATGTACTTATTAATGTACTGCAAACCTGTACTGATAAGATTTTTTTATTTTACTGTTGTGAGTTCTCTTTTGAAGGGTGGTTTGGTTTGGTTTTTTAAGACAAGACACAGAGATAACATAAATAAAAGCAAACTTGGACAGCAAACTTTTGGACAGAAAACTTGGTTTAAGTTTCTATTTGTACAAATATAAAACATATGTAGTTTAAACTGTCCTTAAACTCACTATGTTGCCCAGGTTGCTCTTGAACTCTCAGTGATCCTTCTGCCTCAGCATCCAGAGTGTGAGGATTACAGGCATGCACTATAATACCTGGTCAGAAGTTTTTAAGAAGGGGCTGGGGATTTAGCTCAGCGGCAAAGCGCCTGCCTGGCAAGCGCAAGGTCGTGAGTTCGGTTCTCGGTACCGGAGAAAAACCAAAAAAAAAAAAAAAAGTTTTTAAGAATTGCAAAAAATTTTAAAAGGTGATTTAGATGAAAAACGTAGCTTTTTTTTGGTTTTTTGGTTTTTTGATTTTTTTTTTTTCTTTTTTGGGGACAGGGTCTCACTATGCATTTCAGGCTAGCTTTGAACTCACTTTGTAGCCCAGGCTAGCCTCGAACTTGCAGTGATCCTCTTGCCTCAGCATCCTGAGTGCTGGGGTTACAGGCGAGTGCCGCTACGACCTGCTTTTTTTTTTTTTTTTTTTTTTTTAATGGCCTTGTTTTCTTGGAATTTCTGTTAGTATGACAATCTCCAGGTTCTTTGAATAGTCCCTTACACAGTAGTGGATCTAAAAGGTCCAGGAATCAGGTACTAATGTGAGGCTTTCATTGGACTAATGATTTTTAATCTGTTAAACTCTCACCACCTTTTAATAATCCCTCCTTGTTTCCTTTTTTCTTAGTGGGACAATTGATGACTGTGAGTTGGTGGAAGGGCTAGTTCTTACCCAAAAAGTGGCAAATTCCGGCTTAACCAGAGTTGAAAAGGCTAAGATTGGGCTCATTCAGTTTTGTTTGTCTGCTCCCAAAACAGACGTAAGTACAATCTAGACAAAGTTGGTTTTCTGTCTGTTTAATTTCTGATAAATCGGATAACTGTTCATTAAAATAAAAACAGAAAATGCTGATGCTAGTGATTTGAAAAAATGAGCCAGGCAGGGTGGTTCATGCCTCTAATCCCAGCACTTGGGAAGCTGAGACACGAGGATCACTATGAATTCAAGGGCAGCCTGAACTACCTAGTGCTAATCTGTCTCAAAAAAACGAGAAAGAAAATGGAAATAAGTATCAGTCAAAATTGACACAAAAGTAGAACGTGTTGGTACCACAGTTGTTAAGTCTGTAGACTATTGGATAGTCATTGAAATTGTGGTTTACTTCACAGAGGAAGATGAAACAATTAGGGTTATGTGTGAAACTGTAAGATAAGTGTTGATGGGCTTTTCAGGTTCTTTATAACTTTCTGAAAGCAGAATCTTAGCTTGCAGATGTTTTATATTTCTACAAATGGAAAATTAAACCAAGTTTTTTGTACATGTTATATAAGAAATTGCTTTTACTTAATGTTATCTCTGTGTCTTATTGTATAAATGCCATTACTTAAAGAGGATTGCTGGTACTTTGGATTTGTTTTCATATTGCCTTGTGCTGCCATACAAGTTTCCTGTTAATTAAAAGTTTAGTCCACACGAAATTATTGTTATTTGCTGCCATACAAGTTTCCTGTTTCTTAAAAATTTTAGTCCACACAAAATTGTTGTTTGCTGGGCACAGTGGCCCAAGGTCCAGCCCAGCATGGGCAACTCTGACGTAATGATTACCTGTTTTAAGAAAGGGCTGAGGAGCTGGGCATGGTGGTGCACACCTGTAATCCCAGCACTCGGGAGGATGAGGCACGAGGATTGTTGTGAGTTTGAGACCAGTCTAGGCTACAAAGTGCGTTCAAGGCCAACCTGAACTGCATACGGAGACCCTGTCTCAAAAAACACAAATAAATGAATGAATGAATGAATGAGTGAGTGAATGAATAAAAGAGCTAGGGGAGTAACTTAGTTCAAAGGCTTTGGGTGTAATCTCTGGTACCACCCCCTCAATAAACTTGTCTTCTCAACATACCATTTATATAACAAGCCATAGACTGAAAAGGATGCACCTGAAGTTACTTGTTTAGTACATATATTGTTTGTATGAGAAAGTGATACTCAGGAGATAGGGTAATCATTTACGTACCTGTGTTTTTTGTAGTTCTGGCTAGCCTGAAACCCATGGCAAACCTTCCTATCTCAGTGTTCGGAGAACACCGCCACACCGCTCAAGTTTACCTTTTTTTTTTGTTTTGTTTTCTATCACAAAGTCCTTGGAAAAGGTTTGAATAGACCAGGTGTGGTGGCACATACCTATAATCTTATCACTCTGGAGTCTGAGGAAGGTGGGTCTTGGTGAGTTTGACACCACCTGGGCTGCATAGTGAGTTCATGCCAGCCTGAACTGCATAGCTAGAACAGTCCAAATAGACAGCAGCAAATAAAGTTGAAAGTAAGTCTCAAGTTTATGTGAATGTATATCCTTGCAAACATTTTTTGTTTCTATATATAAATTTAATTTTTAGTATTTGTTTTAATTCTGTACGTAATGTTTTCACTTAATCTTTCAGTTTTCTTAAAACATAAAACTCACTTTAAAATTCTTCTGGGGATTGAACCTAAAAATGCCTAAGCGTGTACACTACCACTCTGAGCTTAACGATACAAATTATTATTAATATGTTCTTTTTCTAAACAGATGGATAATCAAATAGTAGTTTCTGACTATGCCCAGATGGACCGAGTACTGCGAGAAGAGAGAGCCTATATTTTAAATTTGGTGAAGCAAATTAAAAAAACGGGGTGTAACGTCCTTCTCATACAGAAGTCTATCCTAAGGTGCGGGAGTATGTGTTTTGTTCAGCCTTAATTATAATTGATTTGGGATACTGACTAGCGGTTGTGGGGGTTTTTTTGGTTGAGGGGGGTTGTCTTTTTGAGACAGGGTCTTGCTATGCAGTTCAGGCTGGCTTTGAGCTCATTTTATAGTCCAGGCTGGTCTTGAACTTGCAGTAATCCTCCTGTTTCAACCTCCCAAGTGCTGGGATTACAGGCATGCACCACCACACATGGCTTACCCACTAGCAGTTTTTAAAGAAATAATTGAGGTGGCTAGATTTACTAGAAATTTAGTGAGTCTGTATGCAAAGTAGCGTCATTCTATTTTGAGTAATGAAAAGTGGATCGTATTTCCTTTGTAATCTTTTTGTTTTGTTTT